CCCGTGTTCTAGTCCCAGTCGTGGCACTGGTTCTGTCCCGGTTGTTCCACTTTCAGTCTGGCTCACTGCTGTGGCCCGGGAAGGCAGTGGAGGATGGCCCAAGTGCTTGGGCCCCTGTACCCACACGGGAGACCAGGAGGAAGCACCTGGCTCCTGGCTTCGGATCGGCGCAGTGCGCTGGCCGTGGCGGCCATTTTGGGGGGGGTGAACCAACGGAAAAAGATCTTTCTCTCTCTCTCACTCTCTCATTCTCACTGTCTAACTCTGCCTGTCCAAAAAAAAAAAAAAAGAAAATTCTTGTAGAAACCTTTTTTTTTTAATTTTAGAAACCTATCATTATAATTGCTGTGTAAATGGAAATTTGGCTTACAAAAATAGGAAGTTATTTCTTGGTCACAGTTCACATTTTCTGTAGGTGACATATGTTTGAGATTTTTGGATAAACCCTACCCATCACATACTTCATAAAACATACTGTGCCCATAATTATTCCTGAAACACCAAATGACTCACATATGGGCCATGAGCATGATTAAATCTTTGTGTGCCATGTAACTTTATTGAATATTCCACTTAACCACACAACTTGTCTTTGTTACCTGGTACTCTTGATAATAGAGAAATATCCATTTATGTTATGTGAAAATGTTTTGGGTGGTTTACATGGCATCTGTATAATTATCAGCAAACGACTTCACAAGAGGTTTTTTATTTTAAAACTTATGGTGGTTTATCCTCAGCTGTAATGCTGCTTTCTGCATATGAGTTTCCGTCCTTTGTTCACGTGTGAGAAGTTAGAGAAGACTTCAGGAGACATCAAAGCCACCTGCCGGCCAAGGCAATGCCATCATCTGAACATAGAGTCCCATTACTCAGAAACAAAGTTAAAATGTAAAGATTATTTGCTTAAGTCAAGATAGGCTGGGCACAGGAGAGAAGACTGCTAAGACGCGAGCAGAGCTCCTACTTCTGAAAGAACTGCCATGTTCTGAGGGTTCGTTGCTAGGAAGAGTGCGTTCTCTGGTGAAATAGACAAACCGGCATTGCCAGAGTGACGTCTGGTTCCCTGACTGTGCCTTTCACCGTACCAAGATTCTACTCAGCCTGCCTATGGGGCTTCGTCTCTCCCCTCACAGGTTAGCTTTCCTCATACACTCCTGCGTTGCCACTGCCTCCTTTCAGTTGTTTGACTTTTTTTTTTTTTTAATTTTGATCATCTCCAGATCTGCCTTTTCCTTCTCATATCCTCATGCGGTTTGTTTGCAGCACCCCCAACATTCAACATAAAATGCAGACACAGCCTGCCACATGAAGACTTTGCCAAAAGGAATCTTTCCCTTTTTAAACAAATGTTTATTTATTTATCTGATAGGCACGGATGACAGAGAGAAAGTGCTATCTTCCATCCTCTAGTTCACTCCCCAAATACCCACAACATCCAGGGCTTGGCCAGGCCAAAGCCAGGATCGGGAAGTCCAGCTGAGTCTCTCACCACATGGTTGACAGGAGCCCAAGTATTTGTACCTCCTCTGCTCCCTTCCACGTGCATTAGGGGGGAGCTGTATGTAAAGTGTGCAGTAGCCTGTGGGATGCTGGCGTCACAAGTGGCCACTTAGCCTGCTGCCCTACCGCGCTGGTCCCTGTAGTTCTCATAAATGGTCATTATCACTTTTACTGATGGCATTCAGAAATGAGAAGCTCACATTTTGCGCTATTTCTCTTCCCCTCCCAAAACTCTTATCAGAAAGCTAGAGACATCTAAAGAGAGCAGCATTTCACTTTTTGCAGGAATGTAGCTTTCCCTATGCATGATTAGTGCACGGATTATTCAGGGAATTTCAGTGTTGTTTAATTATTGTTCTTTACACTGCTTGATCTCCAATAATTCTGAGATATAAATAAGATACCACTTAAATGCCACCATGGGACTTTACATTTTAGCTAGCAATATCACAGAATAAATTATACTTTTTAATTTTACCATTACAGATGTATCTTCATTTAATGAAAACAAGGGATATTATATAATAGGAAATATCTCTGCAAACTTCTATGCAAAGATCATTAATAATTTTAATATAAACAACCTGAAATTATGAATAATATTAAAATTTAATTATCTGACTTATACTGTAATTTATAGCCTCTTATGTTTTCTTCTTTCATTAAAGAGAGATATAAATGTCACGGAGCACCATAGCTCATATCGCAGTTCATTTCAATTAGCTGTTACATTGAAAATAGAAATCCTAGGTGCATGTTATTTGTGCAGAATTCAGAAATCTAATTTAATCTTTACACTCTAGTTACGTTGAATCATTTATCAAGTTCCTTGCTGGCCACTTAATTCTTTTTTTTTTTTTAACTTTTATTTAGTAAATATAAATTTCCAAAGTACGTTTATGGATTACAATGGCTTTGCCCCCCATAATTTCCCTCCCACTCGCACCCCTCCCATCTCCCGCTCCCTCTCCCATTCCATTCACATCAAGATTCATTTTCAATTATCTTTATATACAGAAGATCGAATTAGTATATATTAAGTAAAGATTTCATCAGTTTGCATCTACACAGAAACACAAAGTGTAAAATACTGTTTCAGTACTAGTTATAGCATTACTTCACATTGGACAACACATTAAGGACAGATCCCACATGAGAAGTAAGTACACAGTGAGTGCTGTTGTTGACTTAACAATTTGACACTCTTGTTTATGGCGTCAGTAATCTGTGAACTGAAATTGATCACTTGGACTAGTGAGATGACATTGGTACATGCCACCTTGATGGGATTGTATTGGAATCCCCTAGCACATTTCTAACTCCACCATTTGGGGCAAGTCCGATTGAGCATGCCGCTTAATTCTTGTCTGCTGCCACTGTCTTTGCAGTGCTTACTAATCTCACTTCTCTCAGCTCCTGTGTGCGTTTGGATCAGTCTTGGTCCCATCAGGAGGGAGAAAGAACACAGTAGCTTGAACAACAAAGGTTCATTTTTAAAATAATGAATTAATAAGTTTAACAGGGATGTGAGTAGTAAGCGATTGGCTGGAAGTGTTCAGGAACTCTAAATAATATGTGAATACCAGATATAATATTACAGAATCTAATAAATAGCAGCTACCCCTGGGCTGAGATGCTGGGCTGAGATCAGACCTTCTTGTCCATGACCTGGTAAGGCCAAGAAGCCACTGTGAAGCCACATTGTAGGGGTTTGCTAGAAGTCTACCCTCTGTGGTTCTAGGTATCTCACTGGCAATTCCTTGCTACAGAATCACCCGTGGGTTCTTCTGGCCATTCCGTATTTGGGAATCGGAGCCATACAGGAGCCCAGGCCTGGGGACGCTACCCAACCTAGAGGAGCCTTGTGGAGACTGGGGGAGCTGCAGCCCCAGAGGAGCAGCACTCCGGAGAACATAGCTGCACTGTGGGAGGCAGACAGAGGATGCCTGGTTTCTGAACCCACAAGGCAAAAACAGAAAGCAAGCAGCCTTTTCTCATCCAGTGTCTGTCTTGTATCATGTGCTGGCAAAACTTGAAATTGTACCTTCTAGGGTGGAGAGAAAAAGACATTTTTAAAGTGTTGAAAGGTTCCAGCGAGCAAGGGGGCATTTAGAGTTGAGAGGCTATAAATGTACCAGTGCAGCATAGTACTGCAAGCAGGATACAATTGCTTTAGATGTGTGCTCCTTACTGCTAAGACTTTAACTGGAGGAGTCAGATTTTATGGAGAACTAGTTGAAAGAGAACTGACTCGTCTACCAGCATGCTTGTTACTTAATTCTAGGTCTACTGTCAAAAAAAAAAGTGATAATTTATATCCTTGGCTCTCAGTTTCTGCAAATGCAAGAATTAAAGCAGATTTACCATTTCAGGTACGCTCCCTCTGTCAGTAGAAGACTGTGGGAGGAGTGCTCTGTTAAAACCTACTGCTTCATGTAAATGTGATGAGTCATTTAAAAAGAATAAATCATGTTATAAGATAGCCACTAATGAGAGAGATTCACAGTCAAGAAAGGGCTTAGCTGTATAAATTTTTTTTGACATATTCTAATTGGCCAAATTATTTTAGTTGGCTGAGAAACCTAAGTAAAATCTTCCCTAATTTCCAGATTTTCTCAGGAAAGAAAAGGGCAAAATAGATTGTGTCATGTACATCATATGAATTAGGCATTGTCCCAGAGTCATATTGTCTAAACCTGTTCAAGGAGAGATTTTTTTTTAACATAAGATTATCATCCATTTTTCAGCATTCATTTTTCTCCATTTAATCAAAGGTGTATGTGTGTGGGGGCGTGTGTTTGTGTATATGTGTATGTATGTATGTATGTGTGCATGTAAACCTTTGTAAGGCATTTAAATTAAAATAATTGCAGACTTAATTAGAGTAAGTATAAATTACATTTAAGAGTCATAAAATTAGACAAAAACTTTTTTCTAATTCTTGCCAAATGATAAAGGCTGTGAAACCAAAACAAGATTGTTAGTCTGTCCTTACTGCAGACAATGCAGAGACATGTAGAGTTTGTCATTATCAAATATGTGAATATGAATGTTCAAAAATTATGCTATTATATAATAACAATACCAGAAAAACAGTAGGCCTATAGAGACCGAGGCAGTAGGCTCTTGATTCAGAATAGCAGTGTAAGGATTAAACAGTTGAAACTGGAAATTTGCTGGTATTGAGGAGGAGAAAATAGACAACCATCAACACCTAGTGAAACGTGCAAGTTCACAGCCAGGAAACACCTCTGTCTAAAAGTCACTTCTGAAATAATTGATGAGAAACCTGCCTTATGTTGCTTTTCTCTGTGCTGCTGTATTGTTTTCCATTTTAAAAAAGAAAAAATATGATGGAAATCAAAATGGTGTCTCCCATTGGCACATTACTGTAGATAAATGAAATTGTTTATCAGGGACATTTAAAAAAATGCTTCACATTATTTTTGGAGAGCATATCCAATATTTTGGTTTAATTCCTCTTTTTTCTCTTCTAGCTTCTCCATGGGTTGATAATAGCCGAACCCCAAACAAGATTGATCTTTATGATGTACGCAGAAGACCATGGTAAGAATTTTCAGCCATGTAAAAGATGAAACAGAAAAAAGGATACTTTTTTTTTTTTTTAATTAAACAGTGGAAGGAATCTTTAGGATTGAGCTGGAAAAATTTACCTACTTATTGAATGTGCTCTGCTGGTCATTGAATAAATGTAGTTGTGAGTAAATGGCAATGATGGGTTCCAGTAGGGAACGAACATGAATATTGTTGAAGTGATTGATTACATTCACTGCATGTGGACTGTTTTCAGATTTCTCTTCAATCTCAGCCATAAACCTCTTTCTGCTGGTGGGTATTTCCATTGAAAGTCTCCCAATTTGCTTGGAGTGGAGTTTTACTCCAAGCAAAGATTTGATAGCCTCCACTGGTAGTTTGCCTCTAGCAGTGAACTAATGAGAACTGGCCCCAAGGTAAGGGCTGCCCCTGGTTACCTTCAGATAGCTTAGGTTTAATTTTTTTTCCAAAAAAGAATTTTTGTTTGTGTCTCACTATGGAAACAACTCATTCTCTTAACTCAACACTTGAAAAATGCCAATGATTGTAACTGGTCTCCTGGAGAAATAAGTTAATTTTTATCTTCTTAGAATTAATTATATTTTGTTTATATTTTATTAAATGAATTTAATGTGTGGAAGTTTTCTTTTTTTTAATTTTTTTATTTACTTTGAAAATCAAAGTAACAGAGAGGGAGAGGGAGAGGGAGGGAGGGAGGGGAAGGAAGGAAGAGAGAGAGCACGCGAGCAAGCTTCCATCTGCTGGTTTACTTCCCAGATATCTAGAAAGGCTAGGACTGGGCCCGGCCAAAGCCAGGAGCCAGGAGCTTCATTTGGGTCTCCCATGTGGGTAGCAGGGGCCCAGACACTTGGGCTATCTTCTGCAGCTTTTTCCCAGCCATTATCAGGGAATTGGGTTGGTACTAGAGCAGCCAGGACACAAACTGGCACCCACATGGGATGCTGAAGTCACAGGCAGCAGCTTTACCTGCTATGCCACAACACTGGCCCTGGATGTATCTTTTTAATAAGTTCATTTTATATTCCACTTAGTGCTTAATACCCTACTCCTTTTAATAGCAATGACTTTGAGTGTGTATTCTTCAGGAGATCCTTAATATTATTAAAAAGAATATTATATGGTCGCTTATTCAGGCTATTTCTAACTTTTTTTATAGGAGTCAAAGAATCTTAATAAGCAATTCAAAGGACATATTTACAACTCTTTAAATGTCCTGTTAAACTTCCCAATGACAATTTACATGAATGCTGGCAATGTGTAATAGTGGCAGGTGTTATTCTTGTTAATATTACTCCAAAATGTCCTTGATTGTTGCATGTAGACAAAGACTACTATATCGCATGGTTCAGGTTCAGGATTTGGTTGTCTGGGGAGAAACTTGCAAGTTAAGTGCCAACAACCAGGAGAAGCAGTTAGTATCCTGAACTCTCATCTCACTGAGCAGCATGCCAGGTGGTATGAACTAGTTTTGCCTTCATGGGAGTGCACCCACAGCCTTGCCAGCTTCCCTTCTAATAGAGAAACAAGAGTGGGTATAGATTTTAAACTCTGCTTTATCAACACACAGTCCTGGGTAGATTTTTTTTTCTATGCTTCATGTTGTCTGGAAACCAATTAATGTGTTGCTTGGAAGGCTTCTGAGAAGTAAGATTGAGACCGGTGGCCAAAGAGACCTCCAAAATAAGTAGAGGGTTGAGTGCAGGTGCAGCTGTCACTGCTGGGGCAGACAAGCAACACAAGTTAGTCACCTGCACTCAAGCTTCTCTCCATAATTGCTCAACCATCTGCATAAAGCACTCACTCTTCTAGATTTCTTTCAAAGGAAGATATTTTGATTTTTATGGCTGAGGTTGAATTTGGGAATCAACATTTTAAACTGATTCTCCCCATGATTCTTAAACACAGTCGAGAATCACCTCTTGACTTCTCATTAATAACATTACATAGTTCACTATTTCTAATTACTGGTTTGTTTCATTTTTTGAGTTGCTCTTTTATGTTCTTAGACCATGTAGTTTTTTGCACTTAAAAATATGACAGTCTGTCACTTGTTAAACTGACTTTTCAATCCTGTGGCCCACAATTGGTGTTTAGAATAATTTTTTTCCAAAGACTGTCATTACTGAAGTTAAATTTTTCCTGCCAGTATTAAAATGTTTCTTTTGTTACAAGTATCAGAACAATACATTTAAAGTCTCATGCCTCTGGCATCTCTGATGTTATGTTAAATATACCTTTCTTCAAGCTGACATTGTGAATAAAAAAACCATCCTCTCCTGAGACAGAATACAAGTATGTTTGTGCCAGGGAAATGCCTTACCTCAGAGATCTGTAAATATCATTGCAATAAACATCAATGTTTGATGATTTGCAAGAGAAAAAAGTATTTATCTCTCTGTTTCAGGTACATCCAAGGTGCTGCATCCCCTAAAGATATGCTTATTCTGGTGGATGTGTGAGTAGCCCAACTTTCCATCTTTATACACTGAGGATTTGGGAGTGTTTACAAATAACAGCCATAGGCCGGCGCAGCTGCTCAATAGGCTAATCCTCTGCCTAGCGGCGCTGGCCCACCGGGTTCTAGTCCCGGTCGGGGCGCCGGATTCTGTCCTGGTTGCCCCTCTTCCAGGCCAGCTCTCTGCTGTGGCCGGGGAGTGCAGTGGAGGGTGGCCCAAGTGCTTGGGCCCTGCACCCCATGGGAGACCAGGAGAAGCACCTGGCTCCTGCCTTCGGATCAGCACGGCGGTCATTGGAGGGTGAACCAACGGCAAAGGAAGACCTTTCTCTCTCTCTTTCTCTCTCACTGTCCACTCTGTCTGTAAAAAAAAAAAAAAAAGAAAGAAAAGAAAAGAAAAAGTAAAACAAATAACAGCCATATATTGGAACCAAGACATCTTTGATAGGTCAAAGAAAGACCCTAAAGAATAATTATGTTGACTTATATCCAAAGAGGATATGTTAAGCCAGTAGCAAAGTAAACAAAATTTTATTATTAAAATGGAATCTATGTTAGAATGGAAAAATATGGTTCTAAAGTTCAAGTGTTTGGAAAAATGATTTAATTCTAATTTTGCTGTACATTTTGAACAATATTAAAGAACAGGATTGCTAAAACTAAGCAGTTTCTCTTAAAAAATGGAGAAAAACGTAGAAGCATTTAGCTGGCACTTTGTCATTTATGATTCAATTAACCTTTAGGAATTTGGTCACAAAAGAGGTAAATATTAAATGTCAGTACTGGGACTTTTTCCAAGGGAAATACTAATATGCAAGAAAAGCTCCAAGAGTTTTTACACAGGTCATTTTACTTATTTGTTTCATTGTTTCGAGTTAATTTATATGTCTGAGTGCATATGTATATATTTCTAATAAGATTGAGTATGCACATGTGGAACACTGAGAAGATTATGTCCTGTTACGGAGATGTACTTTTTAACACTAATATCAACTAATTAAAGCACTGAGAGTAAGAAAGCATATCCTTATAGGTCTTTTGGCTCTTTGGAAGAAGAAAAATACAATGATTTGTAGGCAAATAAGTACTTATTACAAGCAAATCTCAACATTTGGATTTTTCCCATTTTGATCTGAAATTAAAAAGTTAAAATTAGTTATCAAAGTCTTATAACCCAGCTTGAGAAAGAGAGATTATTGAATTTGACAAATGTAACTTAAATGTTAATTTTTATTTCATTTGTTAAAAGGCATTTTAGCCACATGTTGCCTTAATTAAATTATTCTGAGTGTTAGAAGTGAATCCATGAAGTTCTTCTCATGCACAAATTGAAATGACAGTCCAATATTTTTTCATTCTATTGGTTGTGTGGTAATTTACAGAAATAATTTCTCAAATTAATATCTCTAGAAGCCAAATGCATATCCTTAGATTGAATGTGTATGAAATTGAAATAACCATACATTGAAATTATCTCCACAGAGATGTACTGAGATTCTTCTATATATAATGTCATAATGTAGAAACAAAGATGATCAGGATATCATCCCTGATCTCAAAAATGATTCAAATACAAGAGGAAAGCAAAACCCCATTGTCAAGGAACTAAGATAATTGCAGAAAGTAAGAGATAAAAAGAGTGAGAGGCAGCGCTAAAGGAATCCGCAGAAGGAAGACAGCACTTTGATGTATTGTTGGGTATTTAGTGGGTGACCATTTGGTATCAGAAGTTCCTAGATCGGGACCTGTTTCCAGGATTCTTACCTGTTAGCATGTGGAGGAGGTGACGGAGCGCTGGAGGGAGTGGCTGTTACTTCAGGAACTTCATGTTGTGAGGACTGAGCCAGAGAGGAGAGGGCTGCAGAGGGGACCACGGCCTTGGATACTGTGGAGCGAAAGGCACGAGGGAGGTTGTCTGAGTGGGGAGGGAGAAAAGTTGGATGACCAAGACTCAGACTGGTTGCTATCAGGGACATAAATCTTTGAACATGTTGGGGAGTAGTTGCAATGTTGGACATTGAGTCTCAGTTTTTAGCAAGTAGGTAAAAGAGTGAAACTAAGAAAACCTTGGGAGCTAGCACAATGGAGAGGCGAGTGCTTCCTATAGATGAAAGGCCAACTCTGCAAGTTGGTGAGGTGAGTTCATAGAAGATCATAGAAATGTAGAATATGTAGAGACAAGAGAAGGCCAAGCCCTAGAGATAACCACATCAGGGAGCAGAACAGGGCATTGTTGCCCACCAGTCTTTAATGGGCTTTATAGCATTGATTTAACCAAGTCAAACAATGGGCTCCTCAGGGCATTGACTGTGCCTTTTAACCTCTGGCTAACAGAGCCAGTATTTAAGATATATTTTCTGAATGAGCAAATATGCCATTAGCATCCTTATTTTTAATCATCAGTTGACAGGCAACTTTTATAATTTTGGTTAGGAATGCATATGTACTGATTGGGGGTGAGGGGAGGGCAAGACTTCTTGTAATTCCCACTGTATCAGTAAGTCTTTTTCCTCTACTGATAAAGACCAAGGTGTCATTTGCATATTCTATAAATGACCTCACTGTGGTGTTGATAAAATCCCTGGCAACATGTGTGGATCCCTTTGTCTGCTCTTACAGGAGTGGAAGCGTTAGTGGACTGACACTCAAACTCATCCGGACATCCGTCTCCGAAATGTTGGAAACCCTCTCAGATGATGATTTTGTGAACGTGGCTTCAGTAAGTAGAAGATGACTGCATTTTCCTGTGTAAATCTGCAACTTCTGTCTCCACTTGACTTCAGGTCCTTTATGTTTTTATTGAAATGTGCTGAGAAGTTTTTGGTAGCTCACAAGACTGAGCTGTCTTGTCCTAGTTCCTTATTCTTCTGTACCACTGTGGCAGGCTCCTTTTTGAGTTTCTAAGGGTTGATTCCTGGGGAAAATAGTTGAAATAATGAATATGAATGAAAAGTTTCTCACATTTTCTGCCTCACTCAAGAGCGTAAGCACATAATATGAGCCTCTTTCTTTACTCACTGGTACTGCTGAACTGCTAAGCAGAGCTTGGCAGTATGATTCTATCTCAATTTTCTACTCATTGCGGTGCTCCTTTTTCATCCTGGATACATATCCATAAAGTATTATGTTTTGAAAGTGTGTTTTTCTTATTAACACAAGAACCAATAGACATTTGAATGTGCTCTTATTAAAGTCTTATTTCTGAAGATACATCTTCAGTCTTCCTGCTCTTAGCTAAATGAAACTGAACTTTGATGCCAGCAAAACAAATCAGTGTTACATTGCCTCATTCTTAAATAAATTTTTTTTCAAAAATTCATTTATTAGGAAACTCTACTCTTTGAAAGAGTAGAGTTCAAAGAGAAAGAGGGAGAAAGAGTTTAAAGAGAGAGAGAGAGAGAGAGAGAAATCGAGATCTTCCATCCACTGGTCCACTTCCCAGATGGCCTTATTGACCAGATTTGGGCCAGGCTAATGCCATGAGCCAGGAGCTTCATCCAGGTCTCCCACATGGATACAGGGGCCCAAATAGTTGGGCCATCTTCTGCTGAATTTTTAGGCCATCAACTGGAAGCCAGGTCAAAAGTGGAGCAGCTGAGACTCAAACCAACACCCATATGGGATGCTTGCATTACAGGCGGTGACTTAATCCACTGCGCCACAGTGCAGGTCTCATCATGCCTTATTTTAACTCATAGAATTTATGGAAAATATTCCAATGTCTGGTGGACACAGTTTCATATTTGAAAGGGAAATACCCATAGACATGTTTGTGGAGGAGGAATTTGCGGCAAGGCTGTTTTGTATTGAACGGATAAGAATGGATCTGTCTCTGAAATCACTTGGGGGGAAGATGTTGAAGCAGCTGGTTTGCGACAGATTTACTGCTTTCCCTGGAAGGGCTCCACCAGGGGATAAAAAGAAGGCAGGAGAGCTGGTATAATCCCCCATCAACTGCTGCAACAAGACTGATGTTATGTATTGAGAGGAAGGGAATTCAGGTCTAAAAAACATTTCGTTTGGTATCCCTGGCCAAGGGTAGCTATGGTAAACAGGACTCAATATCTATGAGGCAGGATAAATTGAAGCTGTTTGGTAGTGTAAATAATTACGCAAGGAGCCCGGGAAAGTTCTTTCTGATGCTTCATTCCACCGGGGCTGAAGGATGCATCGCCAACACGGGAAGGAGTTGGGAAGACATTTTTTCCATCTAAATTTCCGTCTGTTTCACGTAAACCTTTCAGACTCCTTTAGTTTGTCTACACCCTGACATTATTTAGTGAAACCTGATACTGCATAGATCTCTGATTCATGTCGTCTGATTTTACCATCTGACGGCCATGTGTCAGCTCACATTTGTTTCAGCAGAACACAAACAAGTAACGTGTAGTGATTGATCTCTCTAACAAGATGATCAGGAAAGATGCTTACTTCATGTTGTTATAAACATTGTTCATTACAAAGGCACTGAGATGGTTGTTAACAAAATATTTTCTTTGGCGTAACAGAAGAGAAAGTCTTAAAAAAAGAAAGTCGTGAAAACATTATATTCAGTGCAGATTTGAGGAACATAGTGCAATGTGTATAAAACTAGCAGATATTAAATGTGGTTAATATCTTAATCTGACTTTTTTTCTGAGAAGTGAGCCTCACTCATTGATTCAGAGATAAATAATAGATTATTTGGGATATTATCACAGGGAGGCCACCCGAGGAGTTGGGAGTGAGGCAGGTGAAGAAGGAAGCCAATTCAAGGACCTTAATTTACTGTAAATGAACTTATTCGGCTGCATAATTCTGCAAGCTACACAGAGCATTCGCTCCAGAGTTATTCTATCCAAAACCCAAAGTAGATGGGGAGTCCTATACCGGCCTTCTCCATGTGTCAGTAGAACAGACTGTGGCCACAATTGGGAGTACTGAACCCCCAAAAAAGTGTTAGGTGTTTGTTGTTGGAAGGCTGGCCAGCTACCTTGTCCAATCAATGATATTAACAGTGGAGACTAGTCACAAATATGAAATACAAAAACAAAGGAACCAAGGTTCATGCATCCTGATGGTGTGTTGTTTGGGTCAGAACCAAGTCACCATTTATATTTTTTCTCCTCTAACAGCCCTGGTACCTTCCCTCCCAGTTGGCCAGCTCTTAAGCTGGTAACTTATTTGGTGGGATGACCAAAACATTCACCCCAGGAGACTAGGGGGTCTGTGCTTTCTATGCCCACTCAAACAGTGGCTTCTGCATTTGTCCCTTCACAGTTGTCACTTGTCACAAAAGGCTAGAGTGAGTCTTCTGAGCCCCTGCATTGTCACCCCTCCCCACGTTGTGCAACTACAGACCTCATGATAATCCCCAGGTCAGCTGGAGTCCTGACGCTGTCAGTAGGATAACTTTGTTTTGTTTTGTTCTGCTTGCATACTGGTGTAAGGCATGAGAGGCTCATAGTGTCTGCACAGTAGCTGTGGACTTAAGTTGAGTGAAACCTTGCTGTGACCCTGGTAGGAGCATTGCCCAACACGCTTCTTCTCCCTACACTCCAACAAAGCAGATTTGTGTTCAGTGAAATCCACAGTTGCAGGGATTGGAAGTACAGATTTCCCACGTGGATCATTTTGAGTTATGAGGAGAGGGGATGTTCCTACTTCTTCCCCTCAGTTCCCACACTCATGCATTCTTCCTTTTGAGGCAGAGCCATTGGAATGGAGGGGAAACCTGATTTGTAGCCGTTTGCTACCTTTTGGTGAGCAGAAGGTAAAACTGTAGTTTTGTCTTGAACAGATAGGCCTTTCTCATTAAACAGATTTAATGATATGGAGAGTCTTAGAGAAATATTGACAATGCCTTAATGCGTGGTGTGTGTGCACACTTGTGCACAGAAGTGTGTGCTGTCCTTTCTCTCTGATGCTTTTTGAATGCTCAGGAAAGCTACAGAGCTCAGCTCTTGTGTCTTCGGGGATGCACAGTGATAGGCAGTGAGGAAGCTAAGGAACGGTTCTAAAATTGATTGTGATGGTAATTTACCCACAGAGCCTCACGCTTTTCTCTGCACCTCGTACATATGAGCGTGCCATTCCTTGAATGACTTACGGTGCCATCTGTATTAATACTTGAACAAAGCTGCCTTGAGCCATGAGAGAGAAAAATCAAGCAGCTTATTTGTATGTTTCAACGTCTTAAGTTTCTTTCTCCTTTTCAGAATGGTAATTTTCATGCTTAGATCGTGTTATAAGATGGCAGAACTAATGCTGCATCCTTACTAAGTATTTCTGCTCTCTCCAGGGCTGGTCTTTGTTGCCGAAAGGTAGCCTGCTGCTAGACAGGGCTGAAATGCAAGCTTAGTGTAGCTGTTTTCTAACTAATCCCCTTACATGCTTTGATAGGAGGAGTGGTAGATGATAGGAGCAGCAATTCCATCCCAGCATGTTCTTATTTACAGGCAAAATTTCAGATGTTGGCACGAGAGAGTGGGATTTGTTTAGGAGTGTGAGGGAGTTTGACATCTGAGCAGTAAAATACTGCACGCCAGGAGAGGACGGAAGGAAAACTGTCTGCTGTCTGGGTGAAAAGTTAACAACCGAAGGAGATGTTGAGGCGTTTCAGGGAAACCACGTATGTTCTCGCGTGAGAATCTGATCCAGCTCTTAAGTTGTCATGAGGAAGGTGAGGCACTTGGAGTGTTCTTCCTGGAAGCTGCTCTAACGCCTGGTCCTTATCTAATAATGTCAGGTTTCTCACCAGAAAAAAAGGGGGGGGGGTCAAAATATCATTCCTTACAACGTCTTTGCTGTTGCTTATTTGAATAACTGTTTTCTTTAAAAAAATTTTCTAGCTTTTGTTAGATTTCATTCACAGAGCAGCAGCAGTTCTAGAATCGACGGTCTCTAAGTACAGATGTGAAATGAGGCTTGAGCTAGCATGGTTGGTACTCCACCTAGAGTCTTTACCCCCAGCGCAGGCTACCAATTTCCTGGCCCAGACCTCTGTGTGAGGCAGGCCTCTGTGGTTCAGGCATCTCGTTATGAACAAACCATAGTTCTCAATATGATAGTCTTAAGGTCCCAAAAGCATTTGTTTTCCATGGCATGCGGCCCCAGCATTTGTTGTATCCGTTGGAGTGGAGACCAGCAGTTTGATGGGACGGTCCCATGGACACGTTGTTCCTGCATCAATGACATTATAAGGCTTGTACCTGGTTTAGTGGTCTGCTGCTCACTCTTCTCAGGCAATGCTGATTTTCACATGTCCTTGTAGAATTGCATTAGGGACAGTTTGGAAGCTTTGAAACTATTGGTTATATGACCTCATACAAGTGTCTTCAGGCTTATCAATTTCTGTCTCATTCTCTTTTTCAAAAGATTTATTATATTTATCTCAAAGGCAGAATTACAGAGAGGGAGGAGGGGAGACAGAGATCTTTGGTCTCCTGGTTCACTCTCCAAATGGATGCAATAGCTGAGGCTGGGCCAGGCTGAAGCCAGGAACCAGGAAGTCCATCTGGGTCTCCCACGTGGGTGGCAGGGGCCTAAGCACCTGGGACATTTTCTGCTGCCTTCCTGAGTCACATTAGCAGGGAGTTGGATTGAAAGCGGAGCAGCCAGGGCTCCAAACAGCACTCACACCTGCACTCTGTGGGATGCCAGCTTCGCATGCGGCAGCTTAGCCCACTGCACCAACACAGGCTCCATCTCTTCTTTAAATGTCGACAGAATCACATGGAA